TCCCGTCCTTCTTTGATAGACTTACTACTAGACAATTAACCAGGCAAAGTATGTAGATAGGAGAGTAAGTGCCTTAACCAGAACTCCTTCTGCATATAAGTGGCTGACTAGCATTCTATCTATCACACTGAAAAAACAAAGAAACCAACTGACTCACTAATTTGACAAAGTGTTTATAAATAATAAATCTAATTGAAATTGATTTTTTTTAGTGACAATTTATCGATTTCTATGTGTGTTATTCTCTCATTAGTGATTATCTTTATTTGCGTTCTCAATGATCACTTATCGATTTTAGTGAAGAAGACAAAAAAACAGAATAAGATCATCAGCATCATTATCATGGTTGTCATACAGCAATATAGCAACAACAACAATAACAAAAGCAGTAACCATAACAACTATAATAATAATGTTCACTGATTGAATATTTTTTTGTTTCATTTATGTTTGTGAATAAATAAAACAACGATTACGATGTGGAAAGTAGCTTCCTTCACTCTTCTTTTTTATTTTTTGGTGCTCGGTTACTATGACGTCATCAGCTGTATATACATATAAACATCCATTTACACGTACTCACAAACACAACAAGTACTGAATACGACTGTAGTATATAAGTACTGGAGAAGAAAGATACTGTGATTTTATTGAGTGGACAAAATAGCACAACACCATAAGGTAGGTAGGTTGGTATATGTGCAAAGAAAGACGCATGGAGTGATGGACAGAGAGTGTGAGAGAGAGAGAGAAAGCGATAACTTATCAATTGATTTATCTCTGAATATACTCCCTGTTTATATTTGTTTGTATGTCGACTATGTTATGCAGTTGACGCCGTCTCTGGCCAAGAAGACGTGATATCCGGGTGCCTATCGAACAAAGGGCGGGAGTACTGCTCATCAGTCCGCTCCGTCCTCCTTTATGGCTGTGAGCCACACATGGCCATTGAGAGTGGAAGACATGAAAAGATTAGCTGTATTTGATCATAGTTGCCGTGTGAAGTGGTATAATAAGGTGACCAATATTGAGGTTAGGCATCGATCGAGTGCTAGGTAGGTAGCAGGGGAAATCAATCGACGAGGCTGTGAAATTACACCGATTGAGATGGTTAGGACATGTGTCACGTATCCCTAGTCATCACTTCTTCGACGGTCAGTGTTAGCTGACATAGGGTCAGGCTGGAAAAGAGCTAGCTAGTGGTGGTTAAACCAAAACATGTCACCAGTCAATGAAATCTTCAACAGTTAGTCTCAGCCACGTCAGAAGGTGTAGACTACCGGGTTGCTTAGTGTCCTCGGGACGGTAAAAAAACCAATGGTTGGAAACAATTGGTGATATGGCTCAAAATCGTTCTCAATGGCTGGCGCACATGCATCCACTCCTTGTGACTTATGATTTCCAATGAAACTGTTTTCTTCTTCGTTACTACTATTCCCTTATCTCACGTCTCTGTTTACTGTCTCTATTACGCATTCCTTCTACTTTCTTCTCTTTCTTTGTGTGCTACAGGCAGGGAGTGTGGCGACTTGAACCTCCGCACATATGTGCAAAGTTCTATGTCGAAAAAAGATAGAGAGACAGACAGATATATGGGCCAGTTAAGTTTCTTTTTAAAGCCCTAGGTATGGTGTGTTGATAAATGACAATATATAGTTGAAACCAATGATTAGTAGTAGCGTCTTTCTTATAATCAACTCTTACGATATATTCAGTCATTGTACAACTGCTCATATGAGTAGTCCACCCCCACTTATTACTTTTCTGTAGGGTGGAGAAAAAAACTTTCTAGATTGGACATCAGCCATAGGACAATGCTACGTGTCAGATGATCCGCAACAGAAAACTCAGTGTGGCCTTCTACGAAGTGAATACAGGAGTAAGACAAGCTGGCTGGCTGCCTAATATCACCAACGATGATATTCCTAATTAGCGTGGACTGAGTTATACGTCAGACTGTGGTGAGCGAGAAGACAAGAATATGTTGAACAGATAAGAAGACGCTAAAAGATCTGGATTTCGCCGATGATTTATGTTTAATGTCACACACACGGACACGAAGACTTATAGGCAAAAACCAACAAACTGGTTGAAGATGCAGACAGGCAGAGAAGACAAAACTTCAAATGAACATAGAGAAGACAGAGGTGGTGATGAAGATAACAAACCAACAGGGACAACAAACAGCACCAATCATTATCAGTGGGGGAAATTTAAAAGAGGTCACTTTCTTTACTTACCTAAGAAGCATAGTTTGAACTACAGGCTGGCGGAACGAACGAAGATGTCAAAGCCACAATCGGAAAGATTAGGTACACCTCCACCACTCTGAAATTAATTCGGAGGTCTTCTGTGCTCAGCATAAACAACAAAATTCAGATTTCCAACAGTAATATTAAGTTAGTCAGTGGTTCTTTATAGGTCAGACACTTGCACTGAGCGTCGCGAAAGACATTTATAACAGGCTACTAAGAATTTCCATATTGAAGATAAGTTGGCCGGTCAGGAGGAATAAGCAACAAGAAACTCTAGAAACGAACCAACCAAGGAACTATGGCTCAACAAAAATATAGGAAAAAATGAAGATGGATCGGCTACACACTGAGGAGACCGTCGCAAGACGTAGTGAGCCAGGTTGGTCCTGGAGTGCAACCCAAATGGGAAACGACGAGTGGGGTGTCCGAAAGCGACATTGAAGCGGAGATCAGAGACTATGGGCAATCGTCAGACGAGATAAATAAGATCGCGAAAAAATGGGACAAAGTGGAGAAGTGTTGTTGTTCCACTCGGAACCAAAGAGAACGAATATATATATATATATATATATATATATATATATTCATAAAAGACACCAAAACATGTCTGTTTGTTTTCGACATAGAACTTTGCACATATGTGCGGAGGTTCAAGTCGCCACACTCCCTGCCTGTAGCACACAAAGAAAGAGAAGAAAGTAGAAGGAATGCGTAATAGAGACAGTAAACAGAGATGTGAGATAAGGGAATAGTAGTAACGAAGAAGAAAACAGTTTCATTGGAAATCATAAGTCACAAGGAGTGGATGCATCTGCGCCAAGCCAGTCATTGAGAACGATTTTGAGCCATATCACCAATTGTTTCCAACCATTGGTTTTTTTACCGTCCCGAGGAACCCAACCAGGAAGTCTAAACCTCCCCACACGGTCGGCTTAAACTAACTAACTGTTGTGGACTTCATTGACTGATGAAGTTGTGTTTTGGTTTCACCACCACTAGCTAGCTCTTTCCAGCCTGACCCTATGTCAGCTAACATTGCTCGTCGAAGAAGGTGATGACTAGGCATACGTGACACATGTCCTAACCATCTCAATCGGTGTAATTTCACAGCCTCGTCGATTGATTTCCCCTGCTACCTACCTAGCACTCGACCGATGCCTAACCTCAATATTGGTCACCTTATTATACCACTTCACACGGCAACTATGATCAAATACAGCTAATCTTTTCATGTCTTCCACTCTCAATGGCCATGTGTGGCTCACAACCATAAAGGAGGACGGAGCGGACTGATGAGCAGTACTCCCGCCCTTTGTTCGATAGGCACCCGGATATCACGTCTTCTTGGCCAGAGACGGCGTCAACTGGCAAATGCGAAACTAGCCCTCATTGTCCGTCCTGAGACTTCGTCAGAGATCAACCCGTTGGCATTAGCCGATGGTACTTTCCAAGTAAGTGAAGTGTTCAACGTGCTCTACCACTTCATTTCCTATTTCTAATCTAGGAGTCAGTGCGGTCCAGTCCTGGAACATTATTTTACATTTGGTGGGAGCGAATCGCATGCCAGACATTCGTAGATCTCAGCTCAAGGTGTTTAGAAGACTCTGCATTTTGTAAGCATCTTTGCCTAGGAGAGAGGACTATATCATCCGCATATAGGAAATCAGCGGGATTATTCCCTGGTAACGAGTCAATCCCTGACTTTCTGAAGGGAGTTGGGGTTAAGTCCAAGCAGTACATCTATGATGAAGTTGAATAGAAATGGTGATAATGAGCATCCTGGACGGGCAACACTAGTCTTCATCACTTCAGTTGACAACTCGCCGTAAGCCTTCACCTGGCTGCATGAGTTTGAGTAGAGTGCATTGATCAGAGCAATATATTTTCTCAGCATTCCCTTTACAGCCAAGCATCGTCAGAGAACATCTCGGTCGACAGAATCGAATGCCGCCTTAAGGTCAAGAATTGTAATGATCGTTTGACCCCGGTAGGAATCTCTATATTCCAGAATCTGTCGGAGGGTGAAGATATGATCGATACATCCTGCCTGGCTCTCTTGTTTTTGTGCCCTTCGAGCACCACTTAGTCTACTCATGATTATTGAGCCTAGGACTTTAGATACTATATTAGTCAAGCTATAATCCCTCTGTGATTATCACAGGAAGACTTGTCTCCGTTTTTGTGTATGGGGATGATCAGTGACTTACACCAACCCGACGAGACTTCGTCTGATTCCCAGACATTACCTGGTACTTCAGTTAATGCAGACAGTAAACTGTCTCCATCGTACTTAAATACCTCTGGAGTCATTCCATCAGGTCCCGCTGCTTTGCCTAGTTTCAGATTGGTGACAGCTTTAGTAACCTCAGTTAGTAATGGAAGACTTGTGTCTATGTCCCATTCAGGGAGGTGTTGGATGTTCGGGAGGTTGAGTGTGGCTGTATGCCAATTAAACTGCTCCTCATAGTGGTCTTTCCAGCTTTCCAATCGTCTACTCTGAGAGCTTATTATGTCGCCCATATATCATTCTCTAGTGGTTATACAATCTAAGATTACTGAGCTATCCGAGCAACAGTTCATTGACCTGAGGAAATGATTTATTGCAGAAATTCACTAATAATTATTTATATACTGTGATCATTACTCCATGTAGAAAATAATGAGTAGTCCTGTTATTATTGCATTTTCTCTTGATCCTCTTAATTGCCTTCTCCCATTTTTATTCTATATCTCTTTTCCATGTAGTCTGATAAAGATGATAAGGTAAAATTAATGCAGTCAATGGAATTGTCTGTTATGCGTAAAGGTATTTACAATAATATTTATATATGTATCAATGTGTGAAGTTAATGATTAACACATTGTGACAAAGCAGAGTTTGTGTGTGTGTGTGTGCCTTTGATTAACCTCTGTGTAATAATAGTTCATTGTACACTGACATCAGTTAGAAAGCTGTTGTAAACCAGGAAGTAATTGACAGCTGTTTCATCCTTTTTCGGGTCTTTTCGGAAGTAGATACTAATGAGTTCCAGCAGAGTTCGAACCCAGGATTTCACCATCCTGAATGGTTTGGTAGTATAATTACTGAACTGAGTGGTAAAATATACAATTCTGTGCATAATATTCTAGTGATAATGACATCACTCAATAACTACTATCCATTGATGTTTGTGTGTGTGTGTGTGAGAGTGATTTTAACCGATTTTGACTTCTTTCTCTTGTTATATTTTGAATTTTGTCACCCTTTTGTTTCTTCATGCTAAAATAATAACCTGACATTTCCCAGTGTGTAAGTAGATGATATGAGATGGCGTAGGATAACTCAAATGTGTTGGAATTCATGAGCTTTTGGCCACACAGGTTGGATCTTTGTTAAGGCTCTGTGACTGATTAATCTGGACGCTCAACTTCTAACTACTGTGTTACGAACTGGAATCCCCTACCAGTTACTGAGATTCGATTTTTTTTGGGGGGGGGCGGGGTGGATATTATCATTAGGCTTCATACTATATAAGTACTGAAAAGCCTATAAAGAAGGCCGAAGTTACATGTTTAACTGATCTAGTTTTGTGACAAGATGTCTCTCACAGTTAAGCATTTCATGTAAGGGCAGCCTTTGAGAACTGTGGTGAAACATAATTCCGTATTGGATAAGTTAACACAAAGTGATAGAGTATTATTCACTGGATAACGCTTCAAGTACAATGTTTTGTTCATAATCAAATCATTATCAAAGTATTCATACAACTTCATAACTTGCTGTAAATATTTTCACTTTCATCTGTTTTATATTGCAACTTTATGGTATAGGTGTTACGTCATTTCGAATGCATGTCCTTAGTGTTGGTTTGATGAACCAAGATTCAGTGACTAGTCTCTCTCCCTCTCTCTCTCTCTCTGTCTTTCCACTAACTTTTTAATTCTTTCCCTCTACTCGATTCTGTTGTGTGATTACACGCAAATGAATGCAGTGTGATGGCTGATTGTTTTCTGGATTACTCAACTTAGCAGGGCCATACAACATACCATTCTTCCACTAATAATATTATTATTATTATTCCCTCGTGGATGTCAACAGCACATTTCCATTGCATCCTGTCCTCTTCAGTCCTCTTTAGCCGGCTCCACGATTCCTCATAAACTCTCATCTCTTCCTCATATGTTCTCTTCTATGTTGTCATCGGATCCATGCCCAACTCATTGTCTTTCACTTAGGTATCACTCACTCGAGTGATGACCTAACGCGCGATATCACTCTCAACAGCTTCGTCAGCGTGTGTTCTGTTCATCTACATTTTTTTTCAGCATATTTTTTGAACAATAGCTCCTTGGTTGGTTGGTTGGTTTGTTTCCAGAGCTTTTTGTTGCTAGTTTTCTCTGTGACCGGCCACTTGATCTTCAATATTGTGGAGTCAGCGAAGGCTGTAAGCTGTTGATGTAAGTCTGTTGTAAATGCTTTTCGCGATGCGCAGTACAAGTTTCTGACCCATAAAGAATTACTAACTGACTTAATATTGGCACTGAAAATCTGAATCTTGTTCTTTATTTTGAGATACGCAGAAGATTTCTGATATGTATCCACATAATGTGTGTTTGTTTTTGACAGTCTGTTATATTTTGCTATGTATATATGATCGATATTCCATTTTAATTGACAATATGTCTTTGTCTGTCCACTAACTAAACAACATGTCTGACCTTGTTGTCACATGACATTACAACCAATCATGTTAAGACTGCCTATTGATTTGTTCATTTTTGAACATTCGCTCATACACTTGTGTGACATTGATTTTCCTTGTTGTTGGAAAAAATAATACAAGTATCATCGTGAACCTGGTGGTTTTTGATTTCCGCCTTCTTGAGTCAGGGCTATAATTTCTCCACCAGTACATAACAATTTCTAAGCTGATTTCAGACTTTTTCGATCTCTGTTGGCTTTGACGTCTTTATCTGTACCCGCCTGTATCTAGATAAGTGGAAGCGTTGACTTCCCTTAGATTTCGCCGGTTCTAAGTTTGGAAAAAGTGAGAACGTTGGGCGTGTATGGCTATCCGTAGAGAAATTTCAAACCACAGAAATTCTTTTTCCAATTAGGTGACATTTTTTTCTTAAAGACTATTTCATTTGATGCATGATGTTTCGCTTTTCTCTAATTTTATACATAGACCTAACGACGTCAGTGTTATTTGTATTCTTAATTCACTTAACCCTTGTTAAAATATTTTATAGCTAACAAAATTTGGTGACTTTTCGACTTCACTTAATTTTGTTGTGAAAATGTTTGAGTGATTTCGATGCATTTGTTTCTCTAAGCTGATTGATTTAAATTGCGAACCTCTAGTTGTCCTTCTAGACAACATCGCTTCAGTGCAGGTATCCGTATGAAATGAACTTATTTGAATTTGAATAAAGCAAGAACAACAGTTTTTGCAGAATAAAATGGGGTACCATCATCACTGTTTGTTTCGTTGGCTTCTCTTCAGCTGCTTACAAGCCAAAGACATTATTAAGTATATCTACAAAACAATTTTAACGTACTTGTACAGAGTTCATTTTTAAACAAAAATCAATCAATCAACGTATGCATACAATAATAATATACATAGCAATAATTATCATACATAATAGAAACTTTCGGCGTTACACAGTCTGATGAAAGAGCGGATGAACGCATCTAGTTACCAGGGGCAAGGAAAGATTGATAGCCTCTTTTTTCTGAACTCATAAATCTGTTTTTAGGCGCTTGACAGAGATTGCCTTGGCAAACTTGAGGAGAATTGAACTCTTTTACATATTCATAATTTTGAACGATCTTGTGACGTCCACCTGATGACTTGTGTGAAGGAGATGCCTGGGGATGGCACTGTTTAAAGCATTTGTTCCCTTGAGACATATGCTTTTTGGTACATGTTCAAAAAATTGTAGATATGCCCTCTTTCCTTTTTTCCAATATAAGTGCTTCCGCAGATACATGTTAATTTGTATACACAGTTGGAGTTAACATGTGAAGGATATCTATCGATTTTTGATTGCACCAAAAGCAAGTTGTTCGATAGACGGGAACTAGTTCAGTTGCAGGATAGACTCTGCCAAGTGACTTTCTTAATCTTCTATTGACATTTGCTGCAATGTTTTCACCTTTAAAATCAAGTTGAATGACGATGGCCTGTATTCCCAATGTTTTTTTTTATATTTGAACCTTCAAATCTTCTTACTTGTTAATGAACCTCTGAGGGTAGCTATTGCTTCTCAACCTCTTTTCGTAAAACATAAATTTTTTCTGTAATTTCTGTTTCGAGCATATTCTCCCAGCTCCATAGTATAATAGTCTTGACTAGTGCTCGTTTATAACTACTTGGACAAAAGCTATAAAAATGTAGGCATACTTAATAATGTCTTTGGGCTGTAGACAGCTGGTGCTAAGCCAACGAAACAAACATTGATGATGATACCATTTTATCCTGCAAAAACTGTAGTTCTTGCTTTATTCAAATTCATAAATGTATGAACTTATTTAAATTCTCCTTGAATGATATTTATTTGTATTTCCTGACAATGATTGTCGTGATTGGTTGTCAATTTACATCTCTATCGATCATTTTTATATTGACTTGTCGAATTCGAATAAGTCCGTTTCATATTTAAAAATCTTCGCTGAAAATGTTGTCTAGAAGGATAACGATAGGTTCGCGCAATTTAAATCAACTAGTAGCTCAGATAACACAAGTAAATCAAAATCAAACATCTGAGCTACGAATCTGCTCCATTGTTTGTGTGATTGTTATTTTAATCTACGTGTTTTTGTATATTATTATTATTATTATTATTGGTGCATTGTGGTGACATATTTCCGCTAACCTATCTATATTACTTTATGCATAATTCTAACCGTGTGGTATAACTTATTTAGCTTGATTTTTTGTTTGTTGTCGTTAAACTGTTTTCAATGTTTTGTATGTAGTTTTAGGCCGACAGCATAAATGTGCACATCCAGGTGGTGGTAGTTGACAGAAGAAGGTCTGGTAATCAATTGATATGAAAGGGAACTTTTACGTGGTTGTCAATTTCGCATCCCTTTTTCACACCTTGTTGTACACAGGCCGGTTAATTAAATGTTTTTAGGTGATACAGTGTTCTGACTTGTTGGCATAAGAACAGTTGTTAGTTGAGACTATTCAACGTAATGAACTACAAATGGAGATAATGGAAATTCAATTAGGGCGATTTTGCCTCGCATAAACACCGTTCTCTCACTAATTTGTTTTTGCTTCACGTTCCCAATGGAACATAAGGCCTCAAGCTATTGGCTTGAAGTTTCTGTAGCAGTGTTTCATTTTACAGGATGGGGTTGCTAGCCTCATGCCCAATTTTTCTTCTTTACCAGCATTATTTCTAGCTTAGAGAGGTAAAGGAGTGCGCCGGCCGGGGATCGAACCTCGGACCATGTGCATGGTCGGTGAGAGTTCTAACTGCCGCGCCACCGACGCACACCATGTTAGGTGCACGTAATCTAGGTTGTGTCCAAGGCTCCTGTGGCCTATCGCCTCCTAACAAAAATTCACAGAGCACCGTGATGACTAAGATTGTAACAACAGAAGACAAGGGCCGGCAACAGATCATTTTATTACGGAAATCAGCACGTATTTATATATATTTCATGTACATTATCATAGCTATTCAAGTAGACGAACGCAGTCTTCTGATTGGTTGTTTTCGAGATTTCTCGGAAAGTGTAGCCATCTATCTGCGAATCATATTTGCTTAAGTCTTCTGTGATTGGTTGTTGAATTAGTCTTGTTCATATTTCTCACGGCCAATATAAGTGACCTAGACACTGACGTAGATTAATGTCTACCAATTGGCTAGCAGCCTGCTCTCACCACAAGATGACATACGAAAATTCCAAAAAAGACAAAAAGGAAAATAAAGCCTTATTAACAAATTCGTAGGACTTGGAATTATACGCAAGGTAGGATTTCATCATGTACTGACATCGGTTAGAGGAGCTTTGGACAACCATCACTGGGGTACTGGACAGCTGTTTCGTCAGCCTAGTTTGGGATACGTAGCCACCAAAAGCGTTCGAATTCAGGACCAACTGGTTACAAGGCGAGCTTGTAGACCGTTCAGTGACTGGGTTCCGATCCACTGGCTAGCCCATGAATTCCAACATCTGCTAATTCACGATATGGTGCGACCACGAGCGAGTGTCATCGCTGGCGAGTATTTGTTCTCACACCTGACCTGCTGTACCCGACTGGTCGCGACTTCCCACTAGAACCCAAGTAACCACCTACGTGGATAGGGCCAGTGACTCGTGATCATCAGATTGATATTCAAGTTTTGGTTTGGAAGGATTTGATTGGTTCCAGGATTGTATCATGCACCACTGTGTGGTACAGCAGGTTGGGTGCGAGCACAAATCCTAACCGATGACATTCGCCAGTGGTCGAGCCATATCGTGAATGAGCAGATTTTGGAATTAGTGGACCATTGGATCGGGTGCCAATGACTTAATGGTCTACGAGCTCGCTAGCGGTGTAACCATAAGGACCCGGGTTCCAACCTTGGAGGTGGTTGAATACTGCCTAAGAGTCAGTCCCAAACTAGGTTGATGAAGCAGCTGTCCAGTACTCCAGTACTGGTTTTCCAACAGTCCTCTAACCGATGTCAGTTCATGATGAAATCCGGAAACCAATCAAATCCCTTCAAATCAACACTGGTATTTTTACTGTAAAAGATTTTTGATATGTTCGTTTTCAATTCCTCTACTTTCCTAGGGTGTATAACGTATCTATCCTTGAGAGGTATTGTTTTTTGCGGAGTAGGGTTCTCAGCTTCATTACCAATATTCCCAGTTTACTGGATCTGTTACCAACTCAGTCGGGGTTAAGGGCAGTGCAGTGCATCCATCAGCAGGGAATCCTACCCGGACCACGTGGGGGTGGTGGTTGGTGAGCATTCTACCATTAAAGCACAAATGCACTGGTCAAAATTTTGTATGTAGACCGAATTAATTTTAAGCAATTCAATACTATATTATTGTGCACTTTCGCATGGAGTAGTGCCTACATCACAGATCTTTATCCTAGTATCCACCCTTGGAAGTATTGTATTGCTTTATTAATTTTCTAAAATCTGATTGAATATCTCACACTATACAGTGTTAAAAAAATTTGTCTAATAGTCTGTACTGTTGTTCTGTTCTTTTAGCTGGATGGTTTACTTCTGAATGTTTCATTGTTTTTCATTTGAACAACATCTTCTGTGCTAACTACAATATCAGATATCCCTAGGCACGATTTTCATCTTATGTGTTGTCAGCTGGATGTACTTACTTTTCAGTTGGAATGTTCCTAGTGAAACTTATGGCTATATGAATTAGCTCACTGAGTCACTTCGAATGTCGTTCTCATTAGTCTTATTTGTATGCACTTTCTGTGATTTTCAAAAAGGGAATTAATTAGACACATGTAAACATCTAATTGGTTGATGGTGGCTAACAGTTGAATCCAGGATGTGCATTTCGTCGTAGTTAGAACTCATCATTGGGATGTACCTACATTTCCCAGTGACAAGTCCCAAATAGGACGAAATATGCGTCATTCTGGATTCCACTGCTAGCCACCATCAACCAATTAACTTCAACTTACATGACTAGACATTGTCGAGGCATCTGCACAAGGAGCCAACATGTTAACCTGTGACGAAGCACTTCAGTCCATTCAATCGTCGGAAAAATCCAAACTGAATTAAATATGTGAAAACTGTGTTTTTAAAGTCTCAGCGAAATTAAAATGAATAACTCTGACGTTTCGTTTGACAAACAACTGGTTCGAAAAATTACTCAAAATTAAAATAAGGGTATATATATATAAAAGGATACATCTTTTGTTTTTTAAAAAGCTTGTCCTGTCATATAGATCATGAACAGGCATCAAAATGAAATAAACAAAAGATTTGTCTGGCCTGTGATCAAAATTTGACCACAAATTTAAAATTATTTGTCTACTTTTGTTAAATACAGTAAACACTGTGTACTTTTGCATCAGGCTTCTAGTGATTACGGTCAACTAAAGTTCAGGGTCATAGATAACCGACTAAGAAAAATATGTTTTTGCTTCTCTATATGAGTGATAGATCGTCTGTTGTTACCACTAATGAGTTCTGCAGATTCCATTTTCTTCTAAAGCCATCTAGGCCATCTGTGGCCAAAAGTATATACAGTAGGATGTGACATCATTTTTCGTATGCTCTAAAGACTCACATAGTTATGTGAGCTTGACATTCTCAATTTTGCGATCTTAGCTACATAAGGAGGACTTATCCATCTTTGTATGTAAGGCTTCTGAGCAAATGGAACCTCCAGAACGCATTAACTGTGAGAACAGACGACCTAGTTCTTCTATTGCGAAACATATTTTGGCAGCGACATCAAATGTAACCTTAAAAGACGGGAGACTTACTGAAGGAATGTTTATTTGCAGTTTGGTATCCCTATCTGGCGAAATTATGTACAACCTCATCTTCAACGCACCATTTGCACAGATCTTCCGTGTTGTGCTACTCCTTCCTGGCCTTCATATTGCTTTTCTTTGTGTTCCATTCACGTCTCCCGTGTATCCCCGTAAAGCTGTATCATTTGCTTTCTCTGATATCCAATCTATCTCCCTGCTATTCGATGTTTTTATGCCGATAAATGTCTCTCTATCTACTACTGATAAATCTTATCAGTAGGACATGCCACAATATTATAGAGACAGGACATAAAATTGATGTTTACACGTCTGTTAAACATATGTGTATGCGGCATACAATGATGTGTGTACGCATGAGGGAAATTTTGCAAATCGTTTGTTAGCCTTTCTATAAGAAGATACTGACTATCGGGAATTTAGATTAAATATGACACATATCGATTTATTATTTATTAATCAGGAATTGCCATACATCAGCTAGCATCACACCTTTATGCCCCTTCAGGTTTTTGGGATTCATCCGTATATGTAGGGCTTCTACAGTCAGCCTTCCTTTATGCAAACGAAAACCGTTCTGTAGTACCTTAGTCCTATCAAAATCTATCTTGTGTCCCATTTCTATCGAGTTTACTGCTATCGTCAATCTGTTTTCTATCGTCCTCAAATCTTCAAAGGTCTTTGCAACCACCTTTAAACATTGTTTATACTCCTTTACTTTACGTTTACCCTTCTGGAAGTTTCTCCTCCGTATATATAGCGTCACAATCCCCACAATTTCGCTGGTACACGCAGTTTTGTTGATTGTCTTCACCAGTGATGACTGTAAGGTATCCGTTGCACGAAAATACACTCTTATGTCGTGAGTGTTAAGGGTTCGCTTTATTCTGACTTTTTTGAATTGGGTCTCAATTCTCACAGAATTTTGTCGTTTACTTCTTTGAGCTAACAAGTTGAAATGGGATTAGAGATTATGATTTCTTATCTAAAAGAAACTCACTTTGTGCTAGCTAGTTACAGCATTACACTAATCGACGTAAATAACAAAGACTATAAGAGTAATAGTGATATAACAACAATCGATTTTCATCTGTATTGTATTTTTTTTTAAATTTACCAGCACTTCAACAAGGTCAACAACAGTCTTCAGGTATTATTATCCCCACTAGTCATCAGTCACTATTACCAAGTTTCAATGGATTTACGCAATATCCTCAACAAAATCATACTCCATCCTTTCAATCCTCTGGTGCATCAGATTTAAGCAGTACAACACTGTATCTGCAGAATAATGGCACTGGTGGTCAGGGTGGTGTTGGTAGTTCTGGTCTTGGTGTTGGTACTGATGCCGCCAGTTTTAATGGTACATTTGGTTTTACAAATTCCTTTCGATCAAATTATCAACCAACCTATAGTCAATCTGGTCAATCATCAACAACACTCGGTGTTTCTGTTGTACCACCAGTAGGCATAAATTATTGGCCTGGAAATTATTCATCTCAGAATTATCCTATTCCACAGTCACAGTGTTATCAAAATGTCACTACAGCTGTAATCAATGCTAATTCTCACAATAATAATAATAATGGTAGTCACAGTTATCAACATCAGTTTCAAAAGCAACAATATCGTATACCAGAGAAATATCTTTCAGATAAGTGGATCTCATCACAAAAGCTGATGAATAATAATAGTATCCCGTCACAATCCAGTTATACAACACCGTTAATGATTTCTACACAACACCACCAGCACCTCCAACAACAACAACATCAACAATGTGATTATTGTCGTCAACTGCTTGATGATCAGTTGTCAACAGTAAACAATTTGTCTAGATATACGCTCAATAATAAACACAATTATCCAATGGTAAAGCTACATCTGTTGTACACACTAATAGTAGTATTATCACCAATGTGAGAAGTAATAGTGACAGTTGCATGAATCGTACTCATAATAGTAATAATAATCCTCCAAGTGAATATGATAAAAAGTTACAAAAGTATCCTATAAAATCACCAGTTAGAAGACAAGTTCATGGGAATGAATTGAACAATAAAGGCGGCAGCACCAGCAGCAATAATACCAATAAGTCTTTCAATTCTATTTGCCCAACCAAACAACCTACCAACAGTGTTGATTCGAAGCGACGCTATTCTCAAAGACATAATAATAATAATAGTAATAACGGTTCTAATCTGAATCATACAGAGGCAAACAATGATTTAAACTCAAATGAAAGCGTTGGAAATCATAACAACAGCACTAAAACTGGCGGTCGTCCTCATCAAGCTCAAAGTGACTCTGTTGTTGTCAGTAAAATAAGCAATAAAGAGATAATAATAATAACAACAATAGTAGTGGTTCTCCTGATGAGTCATACAGACATGCTGCCGCCAACGTTAATCCTTCTTGTTCCCCACTTACAGAGGGAACAGTTTCTGTTACTACAGCTGCTACTAGTACAACTACTACTGTCATTCCTGATCATCGAATGTTGACCAAATTGTAACAGTTGATGAAAACAACAATAAACATGAATCCGCCTCATCTTCTTCCATCTCCTCTTCTTGTAAAAACTCACAACAATCCAATAATAATAATACAAAGCCATCTGATACAGTGTAAAATCTGTGGCATTGGTAATCGATGAAACAGAATGGCCAAAACTTGAAACAGCTGTTAATACGCAGAATACAAGAAAAACTACTTCATTCACAGTAAGTTGATAGAAATTTTAAACGTTTTCTGGTCACTGGATGATGACGTTTTATTTTGCTGAAAAGTAAATTCAGTATTTGTCACTTCAAGTGATATCAATTAGCCTATCACTGAAAATTAGGGGGGGGGGTTACTGTCTAGCTATTTCACCTTAGCTCACGACTCCTCAGCGGTATACATGTGTGGCCTCATCAACAGTTCAGACTAGGCCATTCAGGTTAGAAGTCGAGCCGTGACCACCTTACCATTAATTCACTGATTGGAATCGAACGGCCCATGACAGGTAATTTCATGTATAAAAGCACGACAAGTACTTCAGTGACTAGTCTCTTTCCGTGGAATTCATTCTACCCTTCAACTGTACACTCGCATTTATGTACAACTTTTTTCCTCATGCAACAAGGGTAGTAACAGAAGTGATGAGCTGTCACAAACACTATTTTTTGTGTTGGTCAGCGCATAACAGGAGATGGCTAAGTGTATCAGAGTTAGGTAATATGATAAATAATTTAATGAGTGAATTGTAACCAGGAAGAAAGAAACCTACATCCAAAATGGTTACAATCACTGAGATTCATCGACAAGAATATCAAACGAAATGTTCTGAGGAACGGAACATCAATTATTACAAACGAGAAACTCTACATGAAGCTGGATTTCAAGAAGAACTTCACCTGATTGAGATATCTTTATGAGAAGAGAATTTCAGCATCTTTGAGAAGAACGTTCACAGCTATACTAAGATTAGTGTTCTCCAGTCAGTCATCCATCGGTCTGCAGAAGCCTCGAGGACAAGATTTTACATCTGATTATTTCTATATGCCTATAACAGTTCAGGTGTTCCTGTGGAGACAGGTGTATTGGTCGCTCGACACGTATCCTGTTTGTGTAGAAGAGTTCAAGAACACTACCCCACACCGCGTGGTTGTAAAAAGATAGTAGTGGCTCTATAGGGAGTGTGAAATAGTCGAACACTTTGTCAACACTAGTCATTCCATCTCAGCCACTGGGTCCATGGATTCTCACTTCTACCAAATCGTGATATTAGCGCGACTATCACCTGGAGTCCTGGCGAGAAGTCGTGACCAGTGAGGTTCATTCTGTTGGGAGTGAGGACAAATACTCGCCACAGATGATATTGACGATAAAATCCTTAAATGGTTGAAGTTCGAATTCATGGATCCAGTGGCTAGATGGTCTACAAGCTAGCCTTGTAAATGGAAAATCCTGGTTGGATGGGTGCGTACTGCTGAAGAACCCGACACTAGAACGAGACAGCTGTCCAGTAATCCCTGGTGGTTTTCAATGGTTCTGTAACTGATATCAATCCGTAGTCAAATTTTCGCCCTTTTCTCTGCTATGATTGATTTATTGTAGCTTATTCAATAGTCACATTTTTCCTTACATATTGTCTATGGGGTAAATGTAACACTTTATGTACAGTATTCATCTATGATTGACTGACTGGCTTCAACATAGAACTTTGCACCGATGCGCATAAGTTTCAGCCGCTACACTTCACTTAGTACACAAAACAAGAGAAGAAAGTAAAACGAATTGCAAAAAAGAGAGGGTAAACAGAAATTTAAGACAAAAAATAGTAACATGGAAGAACAATAAAATTTTTGAAGAAATTAAAACAATTAGTCCCTTTGATCAATTTGAATAAGGCATTTAGAAGACAGATTTCGCGAAATAATGGCATCATTTCGTAGTTTCTTTACGACTGCTTTACAACTAAAATGGTTAACAATAATAAAATAAAGTTCATGACATTTACTCAGTTAAATGAAAAACAAAAGTACATGCTGATGACCAGTCATATTTACCAGTTTTGTTCCTATCCAGTATAAACGTTCCCTGGTGAAATGTTTGTTCTCAAGGGCCCGAAAAATATGTACGAGTGACACATTGATGCATGAGTTTTAACATATACACTCAGTTTTATTAGCTAATGGTTATCCGGAGAACTTTATCACTTGTTACAGTAAAGAAAGACCACATCTCGAAAAGACAGCTTTTGTATCAAAGAAAGCTATCTTTATTAATCTACCATTCAAGGGTGACGAGATTATGCAGTTGAGAGCTCAAAGACTTCGGTCAGCCATCAAACGCACATTCTACGCCGCATCTCTTTTCTCACTTACCGAGCATTTTCGATCCCTGTTCCTACGATTAAAGGACGAAATTCTGTGGACTCTACTTCAAACTGTATCTACAAGTTTACCTGCAGCTGCAGTGACACCTATATAGGTAGAACCAACAGAATGTTCCACTGTCGCGGTCGATAAGAACATGTTGCAAAATGGCTACTAAATCATATAGAAAATCCCAATGCGATTAATCTTAATAGAAACCTAGCATCATCCATTGCAAAACACTTATTAATGTCAGGTCAGAAAATAAATATTAATAACTGTTTCACAATTATTTCCCCACATAACTCTAATTCAAGGTTATTGAAGGTGATGGAAGCACTTATCTGGATTAATCACATACAGCCTAAACTGTGTGTACAAAAATCAAAAGACTTCAATCTTCGCCTACCATGGACTACATGACCTATCTAAATGTGATTGGTCATTAGTATGTACTTTTGTTTTTTATTTAACTGAGTAATTGTCATGATCTTAATTGTATTATTGTTAACCATGGTAGTTGTAAAGCGGTTGTAAAGAAACTACGAAATGACGACATCATCTCGCGAAATTTATCTTCTTAATGCCTTATTGAAATAAAATTTTTATTGGATATTATAAATCACAAGGAGTGGGTGCATCTTTGCCAACCATTGAAAACGATTTTGAACCATATCACCAGTTGTTCCCAGCCATCGGTTTTTACAGTCCCGAGGACCCCAATCAGGAAGTCAACACCTTCGTATATGGCTGGCTTATACTAACATTTATGAATTTCGTTGACTGATACCATGTTTGGGTTTGACCACCACTAACTAACTCTTTTACAACCTGATCCACCATCCTATGTCAGCTAACATTGCCCATTGTCGAGGAAGGCAATGACTTGGGATGCGTGCTTAATACATATTCCAACCATCTCAACCGATGCAGCTGCTTCACATTGTCGTCGATAGATTTCCCCTCCAGCTCACTTAGCATTCGACCGATGTTTTATATTAATATTACTCACGTTATTATACTACTTAACATGGACGACAGAACGCATACACCTATGATCGAAGACAGTTGACCAGACTTTTCATGTCTTCCACTTTCAATGGCCATGTGTCACAGCTATAAAGGAGAACAGAGCGGACTACTTAGCAGTACACAGGTCCTTTGGTCGATAGCCGGTTATCACATCTACACAAGAGATGATGCAGGTTGTTGGATGCTAAACGAGCCTTCCTTATCCGTGCTGAGATTTCGTCAACGGCCAACCCGTTGAGTCTGATGATTATATTTATGGAGATATGAACACAATAGTTTAACATGTAGTGGCTGGAAGAAAAACAAAAAGAGGCTCCGTTTTCTGAAATAACTGGCTGATCGTTGCTTTACCTAACGAGTTAGTAGTGTAACTGTTGAATTCAATGGCAAAAATAGGACTCTGTGTATAACGCTTCTAGGATGCTAAAATCATTTAGTAAATGCCATCTATTTATGTGGTTTTGTATGATTTAAATCACTATCTAACAAATTAGAATTCATAGTTCACTTGGGGATTCCAAACAGTAGTTTTTTTCAAACGAAACTACTGGAGTGGAGTTCCCTAATGGGTGTGATAGATCTATTCCTTTAGGAGGTTGAAGTCAATTCATATGGACTGACTGTTGACAAACTCCTACAGGAGAGCACATCATGTTTAGTCCCACTTGCTAAGATTGAGTGTACTGCGCATTAGTGTGCCTTCCTAATTTACGGATGTGAAATTTGACTACTGAAAGTTTCTTCCAATGACTGCGTTCCGAGTTCCCACTTGGAACATAGGGTTTCGGGCCTCTAAGTTTCAGTGGTGATGGCGGTGGCGGTGTTGTTTCTATGGCATGTGGTTGCTAGCCTCAAGTTCAACTTCTCCCTTCTTTTCTGGGCTTACTATTGTCTAGTATACTAGGGGAGTTTCAGGAGTGTGCAGGCCAGATATCTAAACCCAACTGCTGGAACTAGAAGATGCAAAAGAATTACTCAACTTTAAAAGCGAAACCTTTGATAGTATGTTTAGTATATATGGTAAAAATGACTGACCAGTTTCAACATAGAACTTTGCACAGAAATGGGTCACTTCGAGTTGCCACACTCCATGAAGCACACAAAAGAAGACAAAAGACAGAAACGAGATATTCGGGGGGAGAATAATAAGCGTAATTGTGAGAAAGAAAGAATAGTTACATTGAAAAACAACAGGGTTTTGGATATCGGATATTCCAAAGAGTGAATTCATCTGCTGCAAACATTGACAACGATTTTGAGCTGCATAACTTATAGCCTCTAACCGTTGGTTCTTAGAATCCTGATGACCCAACCAGGGGCAGTTTACACCTACCTATGTGATTAGCTGGAACAAACTGTCAAAAATTTCATGGACTGATGCCATGTTTTTGGTTTGACCACCATAAGCTCTTTTCCAACTGGAATAAGTAGTGATGAGACCATATGTAGGGTATTCGGTGATAAAGACAAGTCAATCGATTGGTTATATGGATTATTGTCAATGTTTAAGGTGGCTTAGATATGTCCACATCTTTCCAAAACTCTCAAAACCTCAAGAAAACTTAAAAGCCGACTGACATGTTCGGAACATACTGAAAGAGTCACATAGTTATAAGCCGAAAGAATACAACCCACATAACTGCCGTTTTAGTTGAGTTACTGTAGAAAAAGAAATGCATACCATTGAGTTTTGTGAGCAGCTGATGTTTCCATACGCCTATTATCACGAAATTATCAAGCATAGTTAGGAAGATTCTCTTTGAGGCCGTCAGACTGAATGTGGTATACAAATCAGAAAAAAAACAAGCAACTAATTCAAGAGGTTACAACAAAATATAAATGTCAATTGAGTAGGATTTAATGAATTCGACAAAATCTCTTTAGAATTCTACAGATGAATATTGGCGTATGTCCTGCATGGCATTTCGCTCCGTCCTTCTTTATGGCTGTGCGCGAGACATGGTCATTGAAAGTGGGAGACATGAAAAGTTCGGTTAGCTGCATTTGATCATAGATGTCTGCGTTCTGTTTCCCGTGTTGACTAGTATAATAAAGTGAGTAATATTAAGGTTAGACTTCGGTCGAATGCTAAGTGAGCTGGAGGGGAAATCTATCGACGACAATGTGAAGCAGCTGCATTGGTTGAGATGGTTGGAATATGTATTAAGCACGCATCCCAAGTCATTGCCTTCCTCGACAATGGGCAATGTTAGCTGACATAGGATGGTGGATCAGGTTGTAAAAGAGTTAGCTCTAGTGGTGGTCAAACGGAACACAGCTTCATCATTCAATGAAATCTACAACAGTTAGTTTAAGTCAACCATGCAGGTAGGTGTGGACTTGGTTGGAGGTCTTTGGGATGGTAAGAACCAATGAATGCTGGAGACAATTGTGTTGATATGGCTGAAACTCATTTTCATTTGCTGGAGCAGATGCATCCTACTCCTTCTGATTTATAATCAAATTTTTTTTTTCATTTTTTTCCCTTTTATTAGGAACAGTCAGTCAGTCATAAATATAATGTTGATAGTTGTTTCCTCGGAAAGACAATATCCTTCACCAGTTAGTTACCCGATAATTAAATCCCTTACTGTGTATTGGGTATATTAATGGATTTGTCGTAAAAATGTTAATAATCGTTCACATATTTATGTGCATGGTGGTGACACATTTTTTTCTATAGCTGTTTAAACCTTGGTTGATTAAATACTGCCGAAACAATTAGGCAGTAAAAAAAAAACAATTAGTTATTTATATCTCACAATTGTCTGCAGTCCTGTTTTCCCGCCCTGTCCCCTATTTGTTATTGCTCTCCAGTGCAGTGGTTGTTTACTGGTTGGGGATCTTGAGTCTAGAAATATTCACTTTCAGGTTAGACTACTAAGATGACATCAGTTAGAGAATCACTGGAAACCTTGGAGTGCTCGTCAGCTCTTTCGTCCTAGTTGGAGACTTCTCAACTGTACACCCTCTTGACTCTAACGGGAGTTGAACTCAGGACGTTCAATTTACGAGAAGAGCTTGATGACCATTGAATCACAGTTGTGTTCAATTCCAACGGCCTATGAATTCTAACTCCTATTAATTCGCGGTATATGATAGCTGAACCAAATCAATCGATGAGGCTGTGAAGGTACATCGACTGAGATGGTTAGGACATGTGTCACGTATGCCTAGTCATCGTCTTCCTGGACGGTCAATGTTAGCTGACATAGGGTCAGGCTGGAAAAGAGCTAGCTAGTGGTGGTTAAACCAAAACATGTCACCAGTCAATGAAATCTTCAACAGTTAGTTTAAGCTAGCCACAGAGGAAGGTGTAGACTACCGGGTTGGGGTCCTTGGGACGGTAAGAAAAACCAATGGTTGGAAACAATTGGTTATATGGCTCAAAATCGCTTTCAATGGCTGGCGCAGATGCATCCACTCCTTGTGACTTATGATTTCCAATGAAACTGTTTTTTTCTTCGTTAATACTATTCCTTTGTCTCACACCTCTGTCTACTGTCTCTATTACGTATGTCTTCTCTTTCTTTGTGTGCTACATGGAGGGAGTGTGGTGACTTTAACTGTCACACATTTGTGCATAGTTTTATGTCTAAAACAGACAGACAGCTGAACCAACCAATTTCTTCACCGGTAAGTATTTGTCCTCACTGCCGACTTGGTGGTGGACCGCATCTGGCTTCACTGTTTTCTGTAATCGAGGTGTAGTGAAGTTATGTTTATGTTTTCTATATAATATTGCTATATATATATATTGATTGTTGTTGTATGGCTTTCAAATAGGTGGCGCGGAAAACTTTCAAACGATCATCAATGTTAAATGCTGATAGGCATTAAACGAAGAAGTTATAATTTCATATATGTGTGGATTCTGCACACCTTAGAAATATTTGCACTTCTCCACACGATATGATAATATAAGAGAAGGAATAAACTGATTTGGCTGAGAAAAGAAAGTTGAGTCAATTTCATTTTTTGTCGGGTAATAAAAACTAAAAAACGGAATATTTTTGATGGTTATTCAGTACGGAAATATATCTTATGTAATGTGTAATGTTTGTACATCGTATTCCCTTTTTTCCCATGTATACTTTTGTCATTGATTGTGTATTCTTTTTCCAGCTGTCTGCAATATTGTGAATTTGATTTTTGTACGCAAATGTGTGTTGATGTTTTATGTGTACGCGCGTGTGTTAGATAGAATTGTGTTGACTTTCCACACTGTGATTTTAGGAGCCTACCTTGTGTGTTGCCATGCTGTCAGTGTCGGTTATGCATGTGTTTGCGAGAGTCTTTCAACATCTTGTATTTTCAAATTCTCCTTTTCCCCTCCCCCTCCCCCACAACGTTTTTATCGTGTATGTTTTTAGTATGTTTTCTTTCTTGAGAGAATAAACAAGATTCGTAGTTCATGAGAATGATTTGAATGTGGTTCTGTTCTCCAATGAATAGTACTCTGAATAATAATAATTAATTTCTGCATCGCTGTAATTTATTTGTTTTTGCATAAAATTAGAGTGAGTGGTTCAAGTGTAATGTGAGATAGTCCTGGTCCGTCTACATTTCTCATTTTAGGTTAGCTACAGACTGGAGTGAGAGACGGGGTGGTGTGTGAATAGCGGCAATCGTGAGGTGTTTTGCGCATAGTATCACAAACTCCACCAGATATATTCCAATTGTGTAAAAAAAATAATCGATAAAGCAGACAAACATGAAAGCATTTCTCTATGAAAACGCAACAAAGCATCACATGAGACCAATAACCTAGAACAAAAATTGTTACCGTAGTTGATCGCCTCCATTCTACTCATTCAAGTAGACTGAAATGAGAGAACGGCAAGTGTGTTTGAGTGTACCATCTATCGTGATACCAGAATTCGGTAACCGAGTTTTTCATTGGCAACTCCATACACAGATATGAAGGCGGAATACGTCTATAGTATATAAGAATCACAGTTTGTATATAACTTGTGTATTGTGCTTCTTCACCCTATTTGCTTGTTGTGTCCCACGCGTCGTTCATTAAACTCATCTCTCTGCTATTCGATATTCCTGCCGCTGACATACATATTTTATATCTACATTTATATACTACTTATAAATCATATCAGTAGCACTCGATACAACATACTCAGTCGTATTTAGTGTACCGAGTGCTGTATGGACATTCTTACTATTGAAGCAGTAGGAGATTTAAAAGATAGAGTTATCATAGGAAGCCTTAGTAACACTTTTTTCTTAAGACAAAGCTTCGTTAGTCGATCTCAGACCGTATTACGCAACACAATACATGTTACTGACTATTATGAGTAGTTGGAGGCCATTCAGATCAACCAGTATTGGTTACTAGCCAGATAACGATGACTGAAGCATTGAGGGATCATTTTAGCCAGATTCATCATTGTTGCATCCAGACTGCTCCCTCTCAGTCACCTCAATCAGTGGAAACAAATCGGATGCGCATTAATTGCCTCGGCTAACTGCTAGTAATAATAATGATAATATTCATATCTCGACATGTGACCAGCTTGACTCAGTAAATGGTAGTCAGAAAGATAGCGATTTTAGATTGGAAAGACTGATAACGATCTATCGCATTCTACTATCGGTCTCTAGTCTGACACATATTAATCCAACTATGTTTTCATGACTTTGAATACAGTCATAACAACAGTTGATGCAGAATACGATGGTATCATCGTTTATTTTATCAGCTGCGTACAGTCTAAAGAAATTATAAAGTTTATGTGCAGAAGAAATTTTAGCATACTTGCAGTCGCTACATGGTGTCAGCTGACAGGAGACACCAAACTTAATGAGCAGTGCTCAGAAAATTACACTTATATACTGTATACCCAGAGAGTTCAAACAAAAATAAATGTTTGCATTCAATAGCGAAGGTGTTACGTAATAAAAAACAAGAGGTGAGTAGGATTATGAGCAACAATGTAGTGAGCTCAACTCAAATCATCAGAAGAAGAGACAAGTTACACTACGTGGAAAGGGCCAGGTGTGGTTAAGGCCGAAGATGACGTAAACATGCTTTCTGACGTATCCTGAGATTGCAACTTACCAATGCATAACAACGTTCAAACAAAAAGGTGCACATAAAGCTTTTCAGTGGTTGTATAATGTCAAAAGAATTAAATTCAAGAGGGGTGCAACTAAACCTACAGTAGATAGTAATCAGTCAATACCAAAAAAAAATTCGATGACATAATTGAAGTGACTTACCCTGATGAATATTGATTTAACTCATTATAATGAAGCCTGCGTAGAATACAGTTGTAAGTGGTTATCTCCTGTAGTCGGAAATCTCAGGCGACAACAGAAGAGAATAAAAAATTAATTGATTAAAAAATCAATTTTGTTTTGAAATCACAGCTTGTAGGCATGAGGTGCAAAATAATAATAAAAAGATGTAAAGGGCTTTTTAGAATATGTAAAATGATAGCGATTAACGAGATACTTTTGTCCTAAATATTAGAAAAGCCAACGTATACTTGTTAGTAAGAAAACAGGAAGTTAGGTTTCATTAAATGGTTAGGACTATTACAATTTAAAACTGTATAAAAGATACGGGGAGGACATTTTCATCATTTGCGACGATAATTATGACCCCAATCAATTGCTACAAATATTTAACAACTGCCGTCCAGCAAAATAATTCACTCTTGAAATCGAAAATGAGTCTAAAATCCTGTTTCTTCATGTAGAATTAACAAGACGATCCAGTGGAGCCTCGAAAAGGTCAGTGAATAGGCAGTGCACATGGATTGTTCAACTAGCAAGTATCTATAATAAATTGCTTTTTGAACGCGAAAACCCTTGCCCCTTGGATCCGACGCATCTTATTTCTGACGCCCTGGGAAAAAAACCATCCAAAATGGATACAACCACTAAGATTCGTCGACAAGAATATCAAACCAAAATTTCAGAGGGACGAAACATCAATTGTTGCAAACAAGAAACTCCACATGAAGCTGGGTTTCATTGGAGACTTCACCTGAATGAGATAGCCTGAAGAGAAGCGAATTTCAGCATCTTTGAAAAGAACCTTGCATATTCGCAGTAACGCTAAGAGTAGTGTTCTCTACTGGTCTCCAGAAGCCTTGAGAACAAGATCTCGCATCTGACCATTTCTATATGCCTATATCAGTTCAGGTGTTCCTGTGGAGCCAGATACATTTGTCTGTTGACACGTATCCTGTTTGTGTAGAAGAGTTGAAGAACACTACCCCACACCGCGTGGTTGCAGGAAGATAGTAGTGGCTGGCTCTATAGGGAGTGTTAAATAGTCGAACACCTTGTCAACACTATTCATTTCATCTAAACAAAAGCTCCCTTCACAGTAATCTACAGAGTGACAAACAACATACCAAACGCCATACGCTTCCGTCTCCACTGTGCATTTCTGAAGCCATAGTCATTCAGTTGGAAAACCCAGAGCTAAGAATACAAAGGAAAATTATTAGTCGACCAATCTTACTATCATGGCAACAGCCGTGTTAATTTCTGCTAACTTGATGTTTGTGTGCTTGCTTTTCTAACTCCTCATAACTCATGGATTTCTTTAGAAATCTTACATAACTCTATGTTTTCCTTGGTTTCTATGTGTATCCTGATTACAACTCATTATTCATTAAATTATCCATCTTATTACGTAAGTCAAATACACTTACTTATTCAACTTCTTTCATGCATTGACAACTATGTTTGTGATAACTCATCACATATGTTACTATAATGTTTTTTGCGAAATAAAGTTGTATATAAGCGCTTTTGTATAGCTGAAAATGAGAATGAATTCGTATAAAAGATCCTCTTCGCTGATTTGCGTGTTTTATTCCAATTAAAAATAAACCCTGTAACTTTCTTCGTGAATGAAAATTTATCAAAACCAGAACTGTCTTTGACTTCAGAGTTATAGGACATTTTGTGCGTCTTCTAATGTTTCTGATGCATTATCTAGACAATATCTTATCGTTGTTTCCAAGATGGTTGACTGCACTTGATCGAGGCGTATATTTCTATGTCTTCTCCCCTTTTTTAGTGGAAGTCGTCTTCATTGTTTCTTTTATGACTTGAATAGGCCATAGTAAGATGGTTTAGTAGCTTTCTTAATTCAGTGTCGAATGGAGACATGATTGCAGTCTTCAGGTTTCTGAGGAACATACATTTGCATATGTAGGTATCGAGAAGTAGGTTAGTCACATTGGCTGAAACTTTAGAGGCAGGATAAAAATAATCTTTCAGAAATCGTAGGAAAGTTCCACAAATTAACTCTGTGGCACGACATTGGATATCATGCTTTATCGCAGAATGTATACCAAAGAGTACTGAAGCTATTCTGTTGATTTGATTATTATAATCTTTTACTTGTATAATGACCTATTCATCTGACGTTGGAATTTTAATACTTAGTCAGCGAAAACCAAGCCAATCAATAATCATGCATATGTGCTTGATTCTAAGTAGTTATGTCGGTTATTGAAACTATGAACAAATTTCTAACTAACCACCGCTATCTGCAGTAATTATAATCGACAAAAAAGATTCAAGAAGATCTGAACTTAGCGGATGATATTTGTTTAATCACTCAGAAACTGGAAGGTCTACAGGAGAAATTCAACAAGTTGGCAGAAGAATGTCAGCAGAAACAAGAAACCAAGTGATTATACAGAAGACAGTGGTGATCTAGAAGATATCAAACCAACAACAAGAAGCCCCAATCACTGTCAGTGGGAGGAATTTAAAGTCACTGCTGTCACGCATCTAGGAAGCATTGCTTCAACTAAAGGTAGTGCGGATATGAGTGTCAAATTCACGATCAGCAAGGCAAGGCAGATTTTCATTACTCTGGAATCAATATGGAGGGAGATCTATTGCAGTTAGCATAAGGAGAAAATCTCAATTCTCATCACTTGTTTCGAATCAGTTCTTCTGCATAATCCAGAGACTCGGCGCGGCATCGAAATAAGACTTCCATCAACGGCTACCTTCACTGGCTCCATACAGAAGATCACATGGCCAGAAATGACTACTTAGCAACAATGAACCCTGGCTATGAACCAATCAAGAGCCTTCCCTCCAATAAATGTGTAGGAAAAATTGGAGATGGATTGGACATGTAGCGGTAAACAATTCCCCCGAAATGATTGACCAGAGAAACCATCACTGAACATTGGATGCTGGCCGTCACAGTTTAAGTCGACTTGTTTAGCTGAAGGCTTCCGGTCAAGCATCCTCGCCACTCGGTACTTTGTCGTATCACGTTCGTGCACGATCACTAGCCAGCTTAGCTTCCGCTTCCGTCCACGAGAAACGAATACTATAGAATTTGTTGATATAAGATCTTGCGTTAGCATACTCCGTACAATTCGCGAACGTCAATACGTCAGCCTCTAAAGACACACACTGAGGTGAACGTTAAACGATATTATGCTCCACACCCATAAGTGGAACACGAATAAGAAATGCAAGTTCGA